CAAATTGACCCTTATGACTGGTTTTGTGCTCCAGGGTCACAAATGACTAGGACTGCAACAACTAATCAATACAAAGTAATCAACGACAAATTAAATTAGCGACTGATCCCTCTAATCAAATTTGACCTGTCTGTGAAGTCTGAGTCTTTACAAACAATAGAAATAATCACATGATTTTCTAACATGTACAGTTAAGGATATAAACTGCAAAATGTTACTATTAAGATTAGGCCTGTCGCAATAATCAATATATCGACTTATCGCGCAATATATGTACATGACCTCAATTATTTTTGGTGATGCAATATATCGCCCATTATATTTACTTAAAAATTAATGTCACCATGTTTTGTACATTCCACTTGCGCCTGTGTCTTTTGCAGCTTCTCAAACATAACGTGATGTAGTTTGTGCTTGTTCAAATTTAAAAAATGCTTCTACAAACAAAGTTTCATCTGCAGATATGGTCTTGTTTAGGGATCTGTGTCTTTGTGCATGCGGACATCTGACTGCTGAGTAGTGATTGTGTTTGTCAGCAATAGTGTGCACCCTTCATTTACAGAGAAAAGAAGGTCCGGGAAAAATCTCCATACAAGTTCTTTGTGCATTTTTCTTTTTTTTTGTACTTGTTACTTTGCACTTTTTGTTAGAAAATGTTTATTTACTATTTATTCAGGTTTTTTAAGGTATCTAATATTTTGATACTTAATTTCCATGATCTAAATATTCTTAAAAATGAAGTTTGTTGTCATTTGGAAGTGTGTAGGCCTTCTTGCATTATTATGCTGTTACATTATGAATATACTGTATATTCAGTGGCATAAAATAGTCTTTAAAATGACAATAATATCGCTTATCGCAATTATTTCTGGGGCAATATATCGCACAACAAAAAGTTGTTATCGTGACAGGCCTAATTAAGATACGTTTCTATTTTTATGCAATGGAACATGCTGTTCAAAACTAATTATATTGTAATAAAAAAAAAACAAGACTGTGCATCAAACAGTGTAATATTCTGCACATTTTTCTAAAATACAAACTCGGTGTATATTGTTAGAAAACATTTCTATTTTGAATAAATGCTGTTCTTTTTCACTTTTTATCCATGTAAGGATCCTGAAAAAAGCATCACAGGTTCCAAAAAGATATTAAGCAGCACAACTGTTTCCAACATTGATAATAAATCAGCATATTAGAATGATTTCTGAAGATCATGTGACGCTGAAGACTGGAGTAATGATGCTGAAAATTCAGCTGTGCATCACAGAAATAATTATATTCTAAAGTATGTTAAAATTGCAATAATATTTCACAATATTAATGATTTTTTTAATAAAAGCCTTATTGAGCAGAAGAGACTTCTTGAAAATTCTTGAGATTATATATAAACATTTTGAGATTTATATAAATGTTTATATATAATCTCAAGATTTTTCAAGAAGTCTCTTCTTAATCTCAAAATGTTTATATATATATATTTTTTTTTTTTTAGATTAAGAAATCACTATTGGTACGCAATGTAGAGACTACAGTTTATAAACTATGAATTAACTATAAACTAACAGTTTGCAAATTATTTAATATTGAATAATACTGAATTATTTTAATTAAAACTATTAATTTTTTAGTAGTCATTAATAATTGGATCTTTTTTTTTACAAAATAATCAAAGAAACAATGGTCACACTTTATTTAAAGGACCAATTCTCACTATTAAATAAGCATTAATTACAACATTTGGCCTCAATAAGATCCTAATTTGCTGCATATTAATAGTAAGGTAGTTGTTAAGTTTAGGTATGGGGTCAGATTAATGGATCTAGAATATGATCTTGCAGAATAAGGCATTAATATGTGCTTCATGAGTACTAATAAACAGCCAGTATGCTAGTAATATGTATGCAAATAAGCAACTAGTTAATAGTGAGAATTGGTGCCTAAACTAAAGTGTTACCGAAATAATCAACAGATCCACTAATCATCAATACAACTGTTAGCTGCAGCCGTAAAAATGACACATTAGAAGTAAATACATCAGGCCCTGAGCCCTGCAAAGCTTTTATAAAAGCTGCTCAAGATTCAATAACTAATGCTGAGTGCATGGTTCTTAACTAGTGTTTATTTAAAGGGAAGTCTCACCGTCTTCAAAAGGAGTTCCTACAGGCCTGCAAGGAAACACAGGAACAATGTTAAAGTTCTTCAAGCATAAACACGTCTGGAGCATCTCAGATCCACATCTCTTCATGCTGTGGAGTATCAGTTCATTTCTACAAACACACCCAAAGATCACAGCGTTCCACAGCATGATGTTGTTTTCTGAAGGAGCACCACTCACACCAGTTGGAGGATCTTCTTGAAGTCTGCAAACAAACACGAACAAGCTAATATTAAATATATGCGAGTCAAAATCTGCTAAGGGTTAATAACGGAACAACAAGTGATTTTAACAGGATCTGCATTTTCATTAACATTTTTGTTATTAGAGACAATAAAAACAACTTTGTGCATCAAAACCACTCTTTTCTTGTAAAAAACGCACTTGTTTTTCAGGTCACTGAATTTGCGACAGCTGAACATAATATTTTTGACAAGCCACACGTGTCAGAGTAACACCTCATTTTATTTAAAACACAATATTTAAATTTAGTCATTTAGCAGATGCTTTTATCCAAAGCGACTTACAAATGAGGACAACAGAAGCAATCAAAATCAACAAAAGAGCAATGATATTCAAGTGCTATAACAGTCTCAGTTAGCCTAATGCAGTACACCTAGCTAGGTTTTTTTAAATTACATAATAAATCATAAAAAGAAAACAGATAGAATAGAGCAAGCTAGTGTTAGAGGCCTTGTTTTTTTGTTAATTGTATAATAAATAAAAAGAAAACAAATAGAATACAAAAAGACGTTGTTTTTAAGAAAACAAGCAGTTAGTAAATGAATAGAGTGCAAGTCTAAAAGGCGCAAGTGTTTTTTTTATAGAATTAGAATAGAGTCATAGAATAGAGCGTCAAATAAAGATGGAAGAGATGTGTTTTTAGCCGATTCTTGAAGATGGATAAGGACTCAGCTGCTCGGATTGATCATAACAAAAAAAAAAAGAGCACTGCAAATAAACTTAATTCCCTAAAATGAGTATTTGCAAAAAAAAATTTAAATGCTAAATTTCGTTGGTGAGGGGTAAAGAAGTGTGGTCAACAGAGCAATTATAGATGTAACTATAGAAATTATTTACAGATTATTACAAACAGTAATACGGTTTTAAATATGAATTCAATGTAAACATGTATGCATGCATTGCATCAAATGATTAATTTAAATGCAAGTACATGGTACTTAAAGACGCTTAATATAAAGTGGGTCCATTTTACATAATAATAAAGAGTTACAGTAAGTTCAGAATGCCAAGATATTTAATCATCCCCACATGAAAAAAATACTATAGTGTTTTTGAACCATACTATAGTAAAGTACTTGAATTCATTTGTTGTGATAATTCTATAGTTGCTGTGGTAATATAACAACTATAGTAATATAAACAAATTACAAGTTTTCTACAACTATAGGGTATATTATACTACAATACACTACAGTTTACTGTACTACAAACTAAAGCATACTACAGTTTATCAGCTCACTACTAGCATTTATTAACAAAGTGTTGTAAATACTATAATATATACAGTATTATAATACAATTTACTATAGTATGGTTCAAAAACACTGTAGTATTTACTATAAATGACTACAGTATTTTTAATGTGTGATGCTATCACTGGTTGGTTAGTAAGGGCTGTATCTTCAGCCCTACACAACATTTGTGGGCTAAACAAGTGTCTACAAATGCTGTCGACCCTGACAAAAAAATACTGTGGTACTGTAACGTTACTATGGTACAAACATCGCGACTGAACTCTTGTTTAGCTCGTGCTAGCGCAGGCCTAGCGGCTAACGCTGCTAACGGCTAGCCGGAGTATAAACACAGCTCGCCTGAGGCCTCGCTTCGACACAAACACTCGTCTGAAGACACCAACCTCTTAAAGTCTCTCATGAGCCGCCGTCTCGCCGGAGTAGACATGCTTTAATAGCGGCTTGCTGTCATAAAAAGTGCAGAAGAGCGTCAGATAATACACCGTGACCTGGCAACAATCTCGCACTATTCTTAACATACATGGAAGGAAAAGTTTAATATTCATTAAATGAATGAAATTAATTTTTCTCACTTTTAAAATGATTTCAAGCTTTATTGTAACGCTTTACCAAATGCACAAGTAAAAAGGCGATTAGAGCGTATAACGTGTAGAATAAATTTGCAGATTATTTATACATATTTTGTTGTTATTGTTGTGTTATTCTCCGGCACTAATTTATTGTACTTTTGTTTTGGTTTGTCTGTTTTGCAATGGAAACTTCTCATTGTATTGTTCTTGGTTATGGCATTAATAAAAAAATAATAAAATAAAAAACAACCGCAGAGGCACATTTTTAATTGATAAGCAAACGTTTTCGGGATCTGTCACGTGTTTTTGGTTGAGGACTCACTTCTTTAGTGATAAACAATTCCACAGATTTTC